CAATGACCATGTTGATACTTCCTCTTTGGGGTTAGATTCTTCCCCAAAATTCACAATCCTCTTTAAGTGAGCTAGTTTCTGATGGGGTTCTTGGGCTAAGAATTTGGACCAAATGTTTAACTGTTGAGAATTAGATAAATGCACGATTGGCCCGGAAGTTTGCCTGGTCAAGAACGTCTTTAATTCTGCTATCGATACCTGCCATTTTACATTATCTTGACTCAGTTTTTTCTAATGGAAAATATCGAGGATAAATAAATAAATTCCTCGAATACTTACATTAAGAGCAGTTGATAATGTGGTATGATCGAATCCAGCAAGAATAGATGTATGAGCTCCACCGCCAATGAAGAACGACTGAAAATAATTACAATTTACATGAGTTACTACAAAGTTTTGGGAAGAAAATTAGGACATTACAAGAAATGGATTAAAAGACCATTTTGTCGAAAAATTAGCTTTGGATACCTGGAAAGGATTCCATCCCATGGATTCTGAGGAAATACCAATACTACAAATTATGCGAAGTCTCTGGTTTTCATTACTATTCTCCAAATAGAAAGCTGATCCAGCAGGAATTGTGTACACATCTCCCTCTTTCAAACTCCTTTCCGCTAATTCATCTCTATAGATGTTTCCGACTCTCGCTTCCCCTGTATTCATTCATTAAAAAAGCTGAATATTCTGGCTCGTTAAAGCAAAGAATTTAACTTTTTACACTATTTGAACACTTCAAAATGTAGTAGCAGATAATCTTTCTTATTATTTTCCATGTCACTGATTTCACTTTAAGTGAAAATTAAACTATCTTGTGAAAGCGAAGATGAAATTTAATTAATTACCTTGATGAACAAAGAGGAGAAGATCGGAATCAAGATACTGAGGGATGAAGAGGCTATTTGGTTCCATGGAGATGAAACCAATATGCATTGGACTATGTAGAAATGAACCGGCTCGATAGCCCCCCTTCACTATTCTCATAGATCCAGCATCAGTTTTCACAACATTATGTAACTGACGCAACAAGAACCATTTTTCTCCTTGTGTCCTTTGCTCGTTTTCTTCCTCTTCATAGGCACCAACAAAGGACACTAGTCCTGAGAAAAGTACCAGAACTAGAAGCAACAGTATTCTTCTATCTCCCATTTTCAAATTGTTACACTAAAGCAAGTTATCTTTAATTTGTTTGGTACGATGGAGATGAAGGATCTGTTGTTGTTTATATAGAGGGAATGGTGAGATTTTAAAGGGAGTTGTTGTCAACCATGCAAAATTACTAGGCTTTTCTTGTCTACTTAACGTTTAGATCCTAAAAAATATTTGTTGAAGCTTGTATACTGAACCAAATGGTGTTAGCCAAATTTGATGACCAATTCAAAGAGCTACTCTAGCGCACTAAAAAAATGTACTATTTAATTTTTGAAGATGTAAATACTAAGTTTTACCCTTGTATTAAGGTTTTCAATAAACGTTTAGCATAAACAATTCATAAAACCACAATAATACTAATAATACAATTTTGTCAGGATACATAGAGACTTTAATTTATCTGAACACAGAAAAATATTTGTCATACAGACAATTTTGAGCTCATGAAGTCTTATTTTTACACATATTTTTTTTTAAAAAAAAAAAAGTTTATCTAGGAATGGTCACTCTGGCTTGAACTCCTCTCCCATATCAAATTCCAAACGCAAAATCAAAACCCATTTAGGGTTCTAACAGAGATAATTGAAATCTCAAAATTATAAATTTCAAACTTAAAAATGTGATCACTTAAAAATGTGATCGAGTCACCGGCAAAAAAAATCAGCAAGATGCCCGATTAACTTCCAAATCAGGAGAATGCGAAAACACAAAGTTCAAACCTTATATATATATGAATGACAAAATGCAGTAAAATACATATTTGAAGGACACTAATGAAAATTGACGCATCTTGGTTTTTTGGGTCAAAATTTTGGTCAATTCGATTCAACTTGACTTTAGTCAAAGCTAACTGGCATATCATATTTATTTTTTTATTATTATATATATGAAGTTATGAACTGTTGTATTCGGTTACCATTAGAAAAAATGTATTGTATAAATAAAAGGGGTTCAAACTTGATTTAAGTCACATGTGAAAATCTTGCAAAAGTGTCAATGGAACTATTTTAGTAATATTTTTGAGAAGTTCATGTTAAAAATATGAGATTAAAATTACATGATGATATTTTGTTTTGTTTGTGGTCTAGAGCAGGAACCACTAGAACATTTGTTCTTTTGTTGTCCTAGGTGTATAGACGTCTTGAAAACGAGTCCAGCAATTTGGCCCGAATCAATGAGATTCTTGAACTTATATGTAAACATCATGATTTGGTTTATTTGGGAAGTTAGAAATAACTTGGTGTTGTATGTAGAATGCTTCTATTATTGTGTCAAGTCCATAATTACTGTCGGAAACAACATATCTAGACTACCGGAATTTCATCTTAGTAATGGTAAAAGAGTTCGAACCATCAACACAATCATGTCAAAAAAACAATCCGTACGTCTTATTCACATACAACTCAAAAGGGCAATGTGTCTTGTGTCCAACAAGACTACAGAGGAAACAAAATCAGATTGCATCAAGGGAAAACAGAAAAGAAGAACAAAACAAAGTTCCAAAACTGGCATCGCGCTTTCATGCCATAACTCAACTCCAACTAAACTAATCAAAATTCATAAATTGCCTTGTCACCAGGTGTAGGCGATGATGATGGCAAGATGACTTGTTCATGTTGAGCATTAGTAATCCTTTTAAGCCTTTTCTCGCCAATTCCAAATGCAGCTGCAAATTCTGGCCCTCTCAATCTCTGCATCAATGAGTTCTTACCCACCAAGAACTGTTGATGGTTCCTCCTTGCTGATGTAGTGAAGCCGAAGAACTCAAAATGGCCATTTGTTGAAGCAATTTGGCAGAAGGGGAAGTACCTTGGCACCCAAAAAACGTCTCCTTCTTGTACTCTTGCATTCATTGCTAAAGTCCCATTTGGATAAACAATTTGGATCCTGCCAGTCCCTTTCAACACTACTCCGTACTCTATTGCTCTTGGATTAACATGAGGTGCCATCATGGATCCCTACATTAACCAAAAAACATCGATAAAACAAGAGAGCAAGAAAAGAAACATGTAAGTAAGAAGGGAAAATTTATGATCTAGAATAATGATTGGGTCATTACCGAAGTTAGATTGACAAGATAGACACCATTGCCGGATTGTTCTAACAACATACAAAGTTACTATGAGGCAAATGTACATTTAGTCTGTGTGCGCAAGCCGTCATTAATTACCGAAGATAGATTGACAAGGTAAACGCCATTGCCAGATATTTGTAGAGGAGAATAATCAGACTCATCCACATTCTTGCTCCATCCATATTCGTTCTTGAAATCAGGCTTCCTGTTGTAGAGATTGTACGATGATGGAGCTTCATGATTCATTCTCTTGACAAAACCTTTTCTGCTTAATAAAGTACACAAAAATTTCCTCAATGACCATGTTGATTCCTCCTCTTTGGGGCTAGCTTCTTCCGCGGAATTCACAATCCTTTTCAAGTGAGCTAGTTTCTTGTGGCATTCTTGGGCAATGAAATTGGTCCAAATGTTTGTGTCATGAGAACCAGATAAATGTACAATTGGTCCGGAAGTTTGCCTGGTCAAGAAAGTTTTTAATTCTGCTGTTGAGACCTGTCATTTTACATAATATTAACTCACCTTTTTCTTCTTTTTTTCCACTGATAAATGTTGTAAGAAATGGTAAATTTATTTGAACACTTACGTTAAGAGCAGTTGATAATGTGGTATGATCGAATCCAGCAAGAATAGATGCAGGATGAATTCCACCTCCAATGAAGAAAGACTGCAAAATAGTTACCCGGAAGATTTGGGAAGAAAAAGGGCGTTAAACTAAAGAGAAATACATTAATTGATCAATTTTTTGAGAATGTGACTTGGGGTACCTGGAAAGCATGCCATCCCATGGATTCTGAGGTAATACCAATACTACAAATTATGCGAAGTCTCTGGTTTTCATTTCTATTCTCCAAATAAAAAGCTGATCCAGCCGGAATTGTGTACACATCTCCCTGCTTCAAACTCCTTTCCGCTAATTCATCTCTATAGATGTGTCCAACTCTCGCTTCCCCTGTATTCATTTCATAAAAAAATGAATATTCTTGCTCGTTAAAGGTAAACTCTTTAAAATATCTAGTGAAAGTAAAGACAACTTTTAATTAATTACCATGGTGAACAAAAATGACAAGATCGGAATCAAGATACTGAGGGATGAACAGACTATTGGGTTCCATGGAGATGAAACCAATATGCATTGGACTATGGAGAAATGAATCCGGTCGATAGCCACCCTTCACCATTCTCATAGACCCTGCATCAGTTTTCACAACATTATGTAACTGACGTAACAAGAACCATTTTTCTCCTTGTGTCCTTTGCTCACTTTTTTCCTCTTCATATTCGTAGGCGCCTACAGAGGCCACTAGCGCAGAGAAAAGTACAAGCACTAGAAGTAACAGTGTCCCTCTCTTTCCCATTGTCAACTCGTTACACAAAAGCAAGTTTTCTAATCTTTTTTTTGAATTTAATCAGTTTTGGTTTACTGTTGTACTAACTCTTGGGATTGTGGTTTATATTGAGTGAATACTGAGATTTGAGGGGAATTGTTGTCAACCATGCATGATTTTTAGGCTCTTCTGGTGTACTATAAACGGCGAGATCCTGAAAAATATACTATGTTGAATTAAAAAAAGAAAAACATTTGTGGAAACTTGTATATGTAACCAAATGAATTAGAGAAATTGCAATTTGATGACCATTTCAAATACAATAAAAGAAACGATCTAAGGTATAATGTAAATACACTCATTTTAATTAATCAATTAACACTAATTTATTATTTTAATTCTCTTAATAATTTAATTTTGTTTAAACAAATCTTAGAGAGTTCACCTAGCGGGCTAGCTCAACTTTTTTCTAAGTCAACTCTCTAATAAAACAAAAAGCTTTCTTTTGATTCAACTCACGGCCATGGCGCAAAATAGCAGCTGCCGGAAGAGACCTAATATCCTTATCACCGGAACTCCAGGCACAGGGAAGACGACTACGGCGGCTGCTCTGGCGGAGGTGATGGAGCTCCGCCACATCAACGTCGGTGATTTCGCTAATGAGGAAAACTTGACGAACGGCTGGGATGACACCTTCGATTCCTACTACATCAACGAAGATCTCGTAAGTCTTTATACATTTTCCTTACCCAAGCTCTAACAGGTCAAACCTATCTAAGTTTTAGGTAGATTTCTTAATTTTGACTTTTTTTACCAATTACTCTATTTTTGTTCAAGTTTTGAGAATTTATGGTCCCTAACCCAGAAGTTGCTGCAATGATTGTTAAGGAAGTTTTAAATTTAATGGACACAAACAGTTAAACATTCAATAGGTGAGATTTAAGGATTAGATAGCAGTATTAATTTGAATTTTGTTTAAGTTGTGCTTTTCAGAGTACAACATATTTAGAATGGGAATAAAATGGAACTGAATTGAGTCGAATGGATACTGTATTCACATAGATATACCCAACTAAGTTGATTCGGGATTGAGGTATAGTTGATTGATCAATTGATTTGTACTCTTCAAAGCGGTTTTAACTAAGGATGATCAAGTGATGGAATTTGAGTTTTATATGGTGATTGTGTTGTTTCTCTACCCTGCATTTCATGAGATTTTATTCAATTACGATAGGAAGGCAGGCCTGCAGGGAAGAGAACTTTTTTATTCTATAGTTACAGTTTGAAGTTTTTGTATACCAAATTTTCCTATTTCCAGGTCTCGACTGAGGAAATTAGTTTCCTTTGAATATTAAGTAGCATGATGTTGCTTATCCAGGTATGTGATGCTCTTGAAAACTTGATGGAAGAAGGAGGAAACATCGTTGATCATCACGCCTGTGACTTCTTTCCTGAGTGTTGCTTTGATCGTGTGGTGGTACTTCAAACTGACAGTTCTGTCTTGTATGATCGGTTCACTAAGAGGTACTCTTATCAATTGATCCTTACTTTTCGGTTTGTATGCATCTCTAGTATCGCCCTATTAAATGTCTAGACTGTTTGACTGTCCCAGAGGTTACTCCGATCATAAGCTTGCTAGTAATACTGAATGTCAAATCTTTCAAGTTTTGTTGGAGGAGGTAAAAGAGAACTATCCAGATGATATTGTGATCATACTAAGAAGTGATTCTCTGGAAGATATTGCCAAAAATGTGGAGACGCTGACCAGTTGGATTAGTAATTGGAGCCCTGTCGTATGACTTAAGTATCAAAACAGATGTATTATAGCATATTAAGGCTATAGATAAGGTCAAAATCACTTTTATGTGTATATAATAAATGTTAGGCTATGTATCACTAGGCCTAAACAAGAACATAACACGGCTGAACGCAGGCTTGACCAATACTTTTGTGAGACTATCAGCTAATAGATTTGCTGCATGAACATTAATAACCTGAAGTTACTGAAATTTTAAATTTTCTTATAACTAATACTAACAGAGTTCAAACAAAGAACAAAATCATGTCAAAAAACTAATCCGTCTTATTCACAACTCAAAAGGGCAATATGTCTTGTGTGCAACAAGACTGCCAAGGAACCAAAATCAGATCGCATGAAAGAAAAAACAGACAAGAGGGAAAAAAAAACTAAGTTCCAAAACTGGCTTCGAGCTTTCATGTCATAACTCAACTAGACCATGTCACCAGGAGTAGATGATGATGATGGCAAAATGACTTGTTCATGCTGAGCAGTAGTAATCCTTTTAAGCCTTTTCTCACCAATTCCAAATGCAGCTGCAAATTCTGGCCCTCTCAAGCTCTGCATTAATGAGTTCCTACCCACCAAGAACTGTGGACGGTTCCTCCTTGCTGATGTTGTGAAGCCGAAGAACTCAAATGGGCCATTTGTTGAAGCAATTTGGCAAAACGGGAAGTACCTTGGCACCCAAAAAACATCCCCTTCTCGTACTCTTGCATTCATGGCTAAAGTCCCATTCGGATACACAATTTGAATCCTACCAGTTCCTTTCAACACTACTCCATACTCTATTGCTGTTGGATTAACATGAGGTGCCATCATGGATCCCTACATTTACAAGTAAAAGATAGATGAAATGTGTAAGCAAGAAAAGAAGCATACAAGTTTCTATATATACATGGACCAGGTTAACTATGATTTTCTTTCACACATGGAGATTTGAGTTAATGCGTGCAAATGATCATTACCGGAGATAGATTAACGATATAAACTCCATGACCAGATTGTTTTAGAGGAGAATAATCAGACTCGTCCAACTTCTTGGTCCATCCATAGTCATTCTTGAAATCGGTATTCCTGTTGTAGAGACTGCACGCTGATGGAGCTCTGTGACCCAATCTCTTGACAACGTCATCTCTGTTTAATAAAGTAAAAAGAATTTTCCTCAATGACCATGTTGATTGCTCCTGTTTGGAGTTAGTTTCTTCTTCGAAATTCATAATTCTCTTCAAGTGAGCTAGTTTTTGGTGGGGTTCTTGGGCCAAGAACTCGGACCAAATATTTGTGTGATGAGAACCAGATAGATGCACGATTGGACCGGAAGTTTGCCTGGTCAAGAATGTCTTTAACTCTTCTGTTGAGACCTGCCATTTTACATAATATTAACTCACCTTCTTTTTTTTCCTCTGGTAAATTCATTCGAACACTTACATTAAGAGCAGTTGATAATGTGGTATGATCGAATCCAGCAAGAACGGATGTAGGATGAGTTCCTCCGCCAATGAAGAAAGACTGCAGAATATTATCACAAGTTACAAAGTTTTGTAAAGAAAGGAATATCGATAAACAAGAAATGGAATTTGACTTAGGGTACCTGGAAAGCATGCCATCCCAGGGATTCTGAGGTAATATCAATACTACAAATTATGCGAAGTCTCTGGTTTTCATTTCTATTCTCCAAATAGAAAGCTGACCCAGCAGGAATCGTGTACACGTCTCCCTGCTTTAAACTCCTTTCTGTTAATTCATCCCTATAAATGTGTCCAACTTTTGCTTCCCCTGCATTCAGTTGATAGAAAATGAAAAACTCTGGTTTGTAGTTTAATTTTATACGATGTCACGTGAATTTTACCATGGTGAACAAAGAGTACAAGATCGGAATCAAGATATTGAGGGATGAAGAGACTATTTGGTTCCATGGAGATGAAACCAATATGCATTGGACTATGTAGAAATGAACCCGCTCGATATCCACCCTTCACCATTCTCATAGACCCTGCATCAGTTTTCACAACATTATGTAACTGACGCAACAAGAACCATTTTTCTCCTTGTGCCCTTTGCTCGCTCTTTTTCCCTTCATATTCATAGCCACAAACAGAGGCAACTAGTGCTGAGAAAAGTACCAGCACTAGAAGCAACAATGTCCTTATATTTCCCATTTTCAACTCGTTACACAAAAGCAAGTTTTCTTTAATCAGTTTGGTACAATGGAGATGAAGGATCAGTAGTTGTTTATATAGTGAGATTTGATGGAGTTGTTGTCAACCATGCATGCTTTTTAGGCTTATTTTTCTGGTTTATTATAAACGTTCAGATCCTGAAAAATGTATACCGAACCCAAAAAAAATAAAAATCATTTGGCGACAGAACCAAATGATCATTTTAGCGATTTGATGACTATTTCAAAGGGCTTATCTAGCGGGCCAAGAGAAACGATTTTATGTTTGCACATAAGCATGCTAAACTAATTTTAATAAATCATGAAATAGTAGTCGTATAATAAGGCAGACAGAATAACATTGATATACTGGAAACATCTTAAAGCTAGGAACATTATGCCTTACCCTTCTTATTATATCATTATTATGTCTACCTCTTTTGGATTTTCATACTATAATAATGAACATGCTAATTTATCTTAGTTTCTTTTAGAATTAAATTTGTTGAGATTAAGTTTCTTGTAGCAGTGAACAGGTTTATTGCCAGTTTATGGACCACTTTGTGAAACAAATCTTTGGGCAAACAGTCTCTGGTCTTGCCATACTAATGAACTGGACCAATAAAAGACCCAAAATGAATCATTGGGACACAAGCCCATAATAATCTGACCCGACAGTAAACTGCTAGAGATTTATAATAGGGTTATATATTCCCACAAATATCTCTATTTTGTACTAGTAGTCTTTAATTTTTCCCTCTCCGAACCGAATTATGGATCTTTAATTTTTACCTCTCACAGCCAACAATGAGCTTATAGTGGGCACCCTCAACGTTAAGTAAATCAATCAAAAAAATATAGATGATTTATATTTACGCGTATATGAACGACTAATTTTAATAAATTAACATAAAAAGGATTGTCCCTTTAAAGATAACATAAAAAAGAAATATTTTATGTGATTGCACGAGCAGTGTGAAAAGTCATTGTGTCATTTTGATGATGTAACAATGCAATGAAGGATCATCCAAACACTTTTTTTAAGTGGTCAAAACCTAAAAAGTAAAAAGTAAAAAAATGTCGACGGATAGAAGAGACAAATAAATCTAAAAGATGACCACGGAAGGAAAAAGACGTTCACGGAGGATCCAATAAATTCGGATTTATATATTTTTGTATCACATGATTATATTCATTTTTGAAATGATACTTTTAATATTATTATTTTCATTTTTTAAAATTTTAAATTCAAATTTTTTAATCAAAGATAAAAAAGATCTCAATCATTTCATCGTAATCCTAGCCACATTCCATCATAATCCTGGCGAGTTTAGGTAGACAAGAAGTATGATCAGATTTTTAGTGTGTGTGATATTAAACTTAAATTTATTTTGGAGTATGCACGGCATATAGTCAACTTACAATTAACTCATGTCGGTTTTACATAGTGGCAATGTTGTGATCTAAGCTGCAAAATCTAAAAAGGATATCAGAAAATGACAAAAAAGAAAATCTTACGCTTGGAGATAGATTTGGTGTAATCGTTTAACTAAACTTTTCATCAGTTGTGATCCTTTAAATTTTTACAAAAAATACATACTACTTCTGATTACCGTTAAATAATTTTACAATATCTATTAGATGTGAGGAAAATTATAGAAAAGGCTAAAAATTTAACCAAACATTAAGAAAATTCCCTCAAAATGCTAGAAATTGCAACACAAAAGTTGCACTAGACACAACACGAAGTAGAAGTCAAACCTCAAAAAATTGCGTCGATTCTAAGAAATTTTATTTTTAAAAATTTTTTTTAGTAGAAACGGCAAAATATACATTTTCAAAAGTGACCCCGTAAATTCCTTTTTCGTTACTCTCTGTCAACTAATTAATAATCTACTCCATCCATCCCATTTTAGGTGGCACTTTTCGCATTTCGAGATTCAAACAAGTCTATATTTGATCGTAAGTTTTTCATATATCCTTTTAACATTCTGAATTGTTAATTATTGTGACTTATAGTACTTTTATATAGTTTACAAATATATAAATTTCATTTCAAAAAAATTGAAGATTCCATAAGCAAATGTCCGGTCAAAGTTAAACTGTTTGACTCTCGAAAAATAAAAAGTGTCACATAAATTGAGACAAAGGGAGTATTATCTAACGAACAAAATTTCTTAATTATTTGAAAATGATCAAACTATTCAATACTATAGTTAAGGGACTACGTTAATCGAGCTTTTATGTCAAAACATAATGAATCATTTTTGTTATTTTCTCTAGACTGTGCATGTACATTCGTATTCGGAAGAGGCATTATACACATGACATAAGTAAAAGGAATATTGCTGAAAAGATATATTGCCAACACGCTGCATGATGAAGATCATTAAAAGATTTAATAATTTCATTGAAGTGATAGCAGATAGCCCCCCTGCAGCCACTCATGTGATTAAAAATGAAAATAGTATCATATAGTTAGATATGTATGATCGAAGGAAAAAGACGTATTTATTTGGTTAACCAGATAGACATTTGAGAATACGTGTAATAGAAGTTTTAAAAAAATAGAATAAAAAATATTTAGTAAGAAACACTTTATCATCAATCATAATTTGTATTTGAATGAAATTTACTGACAAATTTAAGAAATTGAGAATATGTTAAGCCATGATTAATTGACATGCATTCACACTTTAGTTAATAAAGTTAAATCGCTTGATTAGATATAAACATTCTGATTATAAGCACTTCCTAAAGTAGGAAATTTAATTAATTAATCAGTTGATATGCAATTTGACAATTAGTTTCTGTATAAGCACATGAGTATCTACTAATGTTCAGTTTTATCATCTACTTATTTTAAGAAAAAAGAACAGAAATAATGTTAATACGCGTTTAAAGGAAACATAAGCCATGATTAAACTCAAAAAGAAACAAGAAAAAGTAGGACAAGGGAACGTGCATTCTCGATTTGGAGTAGACAACTAAATCTTTCTCCTTTGTTATCCCTAGAGAGACACCTCCA